ATGACCACAAACCAGCTGGCACTAATGCCACCAGCACAATCATGTTCATTGCAGCATTATTTACCATAGCTAAAATATGAAACCATATCAAGAAAATAGGTATATCTACAATTCATAAGGAAATGGAAAGACTTGGAAAAAATTACATTAAGTGAAGTAAGCCAGACCCAAAGAAACATAGACGTCATGGTTTCTCTCATTTGTAGTAACTAGAATATGTCTATAAATCTACAAGTTAATCCAATGAATGGTAAAAGGCAAATGTTTATACTTGGACATAATTAATTAAATAGCACCCTAAGCATCGCCCAGTGAGAACAAAGGAGGTTATTCTTAAGGAGAGAATCACATAGCTCAATAGCTATGTGCATACAATCATAAAATGATGCTTATAGAAATGAACTCCAAGAAATGCAAACAAGAGTTTTTTTTTTATTGTGATGTTTGCAGTTACTTTTTTCTTTCTTTCTTCTTTTTTTGCCAGTCCTGGGCCTTGAACTCAGGGCCTGGGCACGGTCCCTGAGCTTCTTTTTGCTCAAAGCTAGTATTCTACCACTTGAGCCACAACACCACTTCTGCTTTTTCTGTTTATATGGTACTGAGGAATTGAACCCAGGGCTTCATGCATGGTAGGCAAGGATTCTACTACTAAGCCACATTTCCAGCCTCTTTCTTTCATTTTTTGCCTTTGGTTTATTCTCTGTTGTTACTGTTTTTGATTTTTGCACTCTTTGTTTTATATAGAAGTTTATCTGATTTAGGGAAGGGAAGGAGAATCACAGAAACAGTGGGACAAAGGGAGAACCAATTCAACAGTGATACACTATGTTGGAAATCCATTCATCTACTGAGGGACATCTGGGTTGATTCCAAATCTTAGCTATAGTAAATAATGCTGCAATGAACATGGTTGTGCTGATGGCATTACTGCTAGCTGGTTTGTGATCATTTGGGTTAATTCTCAGGACTGGGATTTCTGGGTCATAGGAGAGCTCTAAGTTTAGTCTTTTGAGGAACTTCTATACTGCTTTCCAGAATGTCTGAACAAGTTTACACCATGTCAGAAATGAACTTTACAATTTGGGAAGAGAGGGGAGTCAGAGGTGGGGGAAGTGGGAGAAAATGAGGGAGGGGGTAACTCTGTTAAAAAGAAATGCACTCATTACCTTGATACCTTACTTATATAACTTTAACCCCTCTGTACATCACCTTTACAATAAAATTTATATTAAAAAAAGAATTCATAGTATATACTACAAAACTAAGAAAAGTAAGGGAAGGGGTGAGTCGAAGGGGGGTGAGAATGTTGAAGGGGTGACACTGATCAAGATGCACTGTATCATAAATTGCTTTGTTATATGGCACCTCTTTTGTCCAACTACTCAAGGATAATTAAAAAATAAGAAGATAATGTTTAAGAGAAAAAATATTCAGTATGTTGGGCTAAGTAAAATACATTACTAAACTAATTGCAGCTGTTTCTCTACTTTTCTTACCTAGCAACTAAAAAAAATTTGGATTACATTGTGTTTCTATTAAACTAGTACTGAGCTACAGTCTATATCATTATTTGTGTTTTTACACACATGTATATAATGTTTCTTAACCTAAATAATTTTTATAATTAAGGTTGAGAAAAGGGGCACTAAATGAATGCCTTACTTCCTCACTCTTCTCTTCTTGTTCCTCCTCCTCCTCCTCTTCCTCACCTTTCTTTCATAGTTGAAAATCTATAAAGCTTTACAGAGAAGGAAACAGTAATAATCCTGGCCATCTAAATGCTGAAGTGAATGTACCTACTATTTTAATTAAACCAGCACAAGTTCAGAAGAAACAAGAGTGCCCTCTCATTAGAAAAACAAACTACTAGTCAATGGAGAAAGGCTTGGCATAAATGAGTTCTAGACAAAAGATCTATAAAACACCACCCAAAAAGACCTAGTTTTCTCTTCCTTTCTTCCTTCCTTCTTTCCTTCCTCCCTCTCTCCCTCCCTCCCTCCCTTCCTTCTTCCTTTTCTTGGTGCTAGTTCTAGGGCTTGAACTCAAAAGCCTGGGTGCTGTGCCTGGCTTTTATGCTCAAGGCTAGCACTCTACCACTTGAGTCACAACTCCACTTCCAGCTTTTATAAGGGGATAGTTTCTTGGAGATAAGAGTCTCACTGACTTATCTGCCTTTGAACCGCAATCCTTAAATCTCAGCCTACTGAGTAGCTAGGATTACAGGTGTGAGCCACCCGTGTCAAGATTATCAATAATAGTAATAATTATTATATTTTTTGGGGGTCCGATCGTGGGGCCTGAACTCTGGGCCTGGGCGCTGTCCCTCAGCTCTTCAGCTCAAGGCTAGCACTCTACCACTTGAGCCACAGCGCCACTTCCGGCTTTTTTTTCTTTTTGCTTATGGGGTGCTGAGGAATCGAACCCAGGGCCTCATGCATGCAAGGCAAGCGATCTACCACTGAGCCACCTTCCCAGCCCACCAATAATTATTTTTAAGCAATAGTTCTCAAATCTTTACTGTTGTCCTTTTCTTTCTTTAGACTTTTTTTTTCAATAGTTACTTATGCTTGGTAGCCATTCACCATTCAGTTTGACCTATAAAGTACTATATTAAAACAAAACTTCAGTTTTGAATTCTGATAGGTACTGAAAATAAATGCTGATGGTTTGATTTATGGAATCACTACTTTGCTAAATTTTGATTTGTTGTAGTAATACTAAAATATTCTATAATGAATTTAATCTATTGTATTCTCAGTGAATATCTGACAATATCCAGGAGGCTCAGATCTGGAGAAATGCAGTTAGAAACCATCCCAGGCAGAAAAGCCCATGAGACTCCATCTCAAAATGACTAGCAAAACCTGGCTGAAGATGTGTCTCAACTGGTAAAGCACCAGCTGAGTAAGCAAACTTATAAGTGTAAGGCTCTGAGATCAAACTCCAATACCATTAAAAAAAAGTGGCTAAAGTATGTAAACAATTTACACAGACTGCACTTGTGTAAACACACTAGGAACACTAAACATGCAGCAAGGCCTTGTGTTGGACTGGGCTGGTGTTTATCATGCTCTTACAAGGTGCTAGCACATGCAACACTAGCAACTCCTACCTCGGCTCAGTGGAGAACCTCCTTGGGGGCATGAGACAGACAGACAGAGAGAGAGAGAGACAGACAGACAGACAGAGAGAGAGAGAGAGAGAGAGAGATTAGGTATGAGCACGGGTGCTGTGAGAACTTTGTGGTCACATGCTTTCTAGATTAAAACTAAACAAAACTAAACAAAAAGCCCTGCAACTGAACACTTGGGCATTCCTTTGCTTCCATATTGCTACAAGATAAATAAGTGTTCCAGTGGGTAACATGAGGCACTGGATGGTTATCTCCAACATTTTCTTCTAATGAAAATGGTTCTCTCAGTCTCATCAGTCTAATTTTCCTTGGACAGATCCCATGGGCACTAATTTGAAGGCTCCATGTTTTTTTTTCATCCCCGAAAGAAAGAATAAGAGAACATAAACAAAACCTGGGGGTATACAGAGATTTTCAAGTCTTCTGAGGTTGAGGCAACATTTTGAAACTTCAAATTTTTTTCTCTGAATGAGGATTGACTTCATCTGAGTAGATACCATGTGCTACAGCTGCCCAACTTTTCCTGGCCCTTCTCCACCTCAGGTCTTGGCAGCCACAGGTGAGCCTGATCCCTGCTCCTTCCCCCACACCCCTCCTTCCCATATCCAGGCCCAAGAAGCTGTCAGGAAGTTCTCAGGCAGTATCAGCAGACAGGAAGTGGGTTGGGGGGTGATGGGGTCTCCACCCATTAGCAGCGGCTTAAGTAGGCAGCAGGGAAACTTTTCTACAGAAAAACCCAAGTCAGCAGATACTCCAGACCGATTTCTACCACATGCTACCCAGTTTCAGAATTCAAATGCTAAGAAGAGACCTGGGATGCCAGTCCCCTTCTTTCCCTCTTACCTTGTGCTTGGCATCCAGAAACATAAAACAAGAACAGTTGGACTTGGCAGTTTAAGCAGTATTATTAGGCAACTAGAGGAAGTGACGGCAAGCACACACGAAGAGACGCTGTCTACATGGAACATCATGTACCAGTGATTAAATGTCAAGACCCAGCACTGTCCAAGTGGTGGTTGTCTAAATAGGCTGAATAACTTGCTCATTCAGACTTACCAACTTTGACAGGTCATCAGGATCTTGCGGAAAGGATGGCAGGTGGAGTGGAGGAAAGGAGTGAGGAAATTTTTAAAAATGATTTCATTTTTTTTTTTAAAAGCACACTACTAGGATCACTTCAGTGGTTTTGCTACAGGTTATTCTAGTGCAGTAGAAAAGAGTAGTTTTGCTGAAACTTCTTGCATGAGAAGAATAGATTTACATAGATTACTTAAAACCAAATATGTGTTTGTCCTCTTAATGTATTTTTTGCTAACACATTCTTTTTTTTCTCTTTTTTTCCATATATATTTTTTATTGTAAAAATACTGTACAGAGGGGTTACCAATTACATGAGTAGGGTAATGAGTACATTTCCTATCGAGCATTGTTACCTCCTCCTTTGATTTTTCCCTACCATCTTTTTTTTTTTTTTTTGTGGTCATGGGGCTTCTCTGGGCCTGGTTGCTGTCCCTCAGCTCTTGAGCTCAAGGCTAGCACTGTACCACTTGAGCCACAGTGCCACTTTGTGTTTTCTGGCCATTTATTGCAGATAAGAGTCTCACAGACTTTCCTGCCCAGGCTGGCTTTGAACTGCGATCCTCAGATCTCAGCCTTCTGAGTAGCTAGGATTACAGCTACAGTGAGCCACTCTCGGAGCCCAGCTGTTAACACATTCTTTGTGATCATGTATTTTACTTTATATGACACTTTCTTAACAGTGATTTTTCTATGGCCCTAATAAGTGAATAAAAGATAGGTCCATAATTTGATTTGTATATTAGATTTTAAAAATATTCCCCTAATGGAAGGAAAAAAAAAAGATTACCTCTGTGTTTTTGCTCCGGTTGGCTTGCAAACCAACTTTTACTACCTCAAAAGGGTTAACCACGATGGCTTCAGTTAGTCCAGATCCAAATCCAGCCAGGGAAAATGTCTAGAAAAATCATATCAATCAATGTTTTAAAACAAGTGATCTCTATATATACCAAGTCAAGCATCCTGCTTGTTACACCATGTAGCGGAGTGTTACGGTGAGATAGAGAAAGCTGCTTAGGTGTGTCATATACCATTACTAAATGGTTTTAACTCTCGATTAGATGCTGACAATTCAAGGAGAAGAAATTATAGAAGGCACAAACCACATCCTACCAATTTCAAAATCAGATGTCAAAGCCTCATCAACAATGACTTTTACCTTTAACAAAAGGCGAGGTTGTTTTATTGACTTAAGGTGGACGTGAAAACATCTGCACATATAACAATTAGATGAAAGTTTGAATGGTAAAAGGACACTCTGTTTACATGCATTTATTGACATAAATTCAAGAAGCAGAACCATAAATAAAGTATTTATAAAAAGCTAAACTTCAGGTAACAAACAGCATAACTGGAAACATTCAACTGTAGAGTCTTATTTCTACAGTGATTGGTCAAGATTATTAATTAACAAAATTATTTTTTATTCTTTCTTGATTGAAAAATAGGCAACTTTTCATGAAAAGACACAAAGACATTATGTGTGTTTGCTGGAACTATGTAGGAACCCCCTTTTTTCATTTGCAAAATGGAGATGAAAACATCTAATTTTTGTTTGTAAAATCAATGTTCTCATTACACATAAAAAGAGAGGAGCCAAGCACAAGTGGCTCATGCCAGTAGTCCTAGCTATTCAGGAGGCTGCTATCTGAAGATTGAGGTTTGAAGCCTATCTAGGATGAAAAGTCCTTGAGACTTATCTCTAACTAGTTAGCAGAAAGCTGGACTTGGAAGTGTGGCTCAAGTGGTAGAGCATCAAAAAGCTGAGCAAGAGGCCCTGAGTTCAAGCTCCATTGTTGGCATGAAAAAAAAAAAAAAAGATTGGGAGGTAGAGTGGAGAGAGAAGAATGGTATACCATACAGATTCTAGGAGAAAGGGAAAAATTAAGATGTTTTCATTTTCTCCCATTCACTCCATTACAATTTTAAGCATAATTTGTACAGAGTAACTGATCATATACTTTATTAATTTATTTCAGACATCCATCATATAAGCCAACTTGGGGGAGCCCCTCTCCCCCCCCCCCCCCCCCCCGCCTCCAAACAACAATCCAGTCCCAAACTCTTGTGACTGGGAAAGCTAAAATCCAGATGTTCAGGTTTTATTATTTACTATATGCAATCTCCCAAATAATTCACCTTTCTGTTTTTCTATAAAGCTCAGCTACATTTGCAGTTCGAACTAGTGTTCGGCAGTCCCTTGTCATAAGAATTGATCAGATATCAGAGGATCATGTTACTTGTATTTGCAGAGACATGCTTTTACTGTTGAGATTTCCAGTCTCCTGGGCTTTTCATGTGAGCAGCAGGGCATATTTAATGGCTAGTACCTCAGTGTATCAAAAAAGAAACCCGAATAAATGAGTTCAAGGATAGGAGAGAATCATATACAGTTCACATGCTTTGGTTATAGAAGCTGGAGTGACCAAATGTTTTCCTGTTTTAAGTCTCAAGAGTCAGAAGCCCTGCACTCTCTCACATGGTACCAATGCTTAACTCAAGAACATCCAGCTGGCCCTCTGGAGACCATATTTTATTGTCTCTTGCTAGGAAGTCTTTAATCCTTTTTTTTTTGCCAAGATGTTGCTATAGTTAAGAATGACATTAAGGGAAGATATCATGGAATTAAAAAAACAAAAGCTTAATGTGATTTTAAGATTCATGGCACCACTGTTCCTTTCTGGAAGGGAAGACCTCACTACTGCCTTATTCAGGCAGGAGACTGGACAGATTTCTTTGCCACAACAGATTTCTTTTTAAAAAATAATTTTTTAAAATTAAATAGTTGTACAAAGGGGTTTTCAATTCAATCTGTCAGTTTATGAGTAGAATAACCTTGATCCATGTCACCCCACAGAAAGTTTCTTTAACAGGGTTCTTTCCAGAAAGAGGATATACATGATTTTTTAAAATAACAAATACTTCTTCCTGAGCTGAGTATGTGTCAGAGTAAATACTCTGAAAGGAACCTTTACAATTACTGTACAGTCCCTGATCAACAATGGTTCAATTTACAAATTTTCAGCTTTACAATAGTGTAAGAATAAAACCCACTCTGTGCTGTGAATTTTGATCTTTCCCCAAGCTGTCAACAAGCAGTATCACACTGTCTCTGAGAGTGTGCAGTAACAGGGCTCTGTAGCTCCTGATCAGCTATGCCACCAGGAGGGCAAACATCCTGTATTCTCCAGTGTACTGTGTTGCTGAGCAGTGGTAATTGGTCGGTAAAGACATTCATTAATAAATTCATTTATGATTTTGCTATATTTTCAACTTACACAGGGTTTATTATAACCTCCTCATAAATGGACAAACATTTATAATTAAATGGTGATGCTGCACCAGTTAAGTTTTGAGGTCCATCTCAGTAGGCAAATGGGGACTTTTTTAGACCTTGGGTAAACACATTGTCATGAGCAACAATGACTTTTGTTTGGTTTCTTTTATAGCAATGGAGGGATAAATTAGTGCATTTGCTCCCTTTGGGGCTCTTATTGTGTATACATTTGGGAAATATAATTTAACTTGCTTTCCAGAAAGTAGCAAGGTCACCAAGAAGGAGAAGGATAGCATAAGGAAATATCCAAATATCCAAATCACCAAGTAAATTTTGTATAATACTTGAGCTGTGTCATTGTAAGATTATTCTCCCTGGCTGAGTTGTTTATAGTCATTCATGTAAAAGACCCTTCAGTTTGTGTCTGACCACAGAATGATTTTATCCCAAGTGACCCAAAGTTCTGTACTTACTATAGTTTGAGCAGCTGGAAAAGTGACCTGTGAGGAAACAATCTCAAGCATATTGACGTTTGCATAAATAGACATGTGCAATGTGTCTGTAAACATATACATATTTTGGTTTTGAAAAAGCCTTTGACAAATGTACTCCTTATTTTATATTCTTGACCATATCTCATCTAGGCCTTTCCAGACATATCATTTTTATCATAAATTCATCACTGGGAGCAATAAAATAGCCAAATTGTGAGTTATTAGGAAGATGGCTTTCAACAAGTAGCTGAACATTGAATAACTCAGATTCATATTTTAGTAGCTGGGCTTGGAGAATCAAAAGAGGTTTTGTTTCTTGATTTTGCTTTATGAAATAACACACACACTTAAGCATAATAAATACTCTCACTTACCAGTCCTGGTGACAGTGACGTATTTCCTAGTAGTATTTTCTTATACTGCTCAAAGGCGAGAAACTGTGAAACAAAACCAAACCCAGAAATTTATAACAATTTCCTGCAACAAACTCTTTAATTGACCAAAATTTTAAAAGCAAATCATTATATTAAAAAGCATTTAAAAATGATAAACCATTGAACACAATTTTTTAAAATCCTATCTTGAATACTTGCTATATTGGGTCTTATTTTAACATTCACATTTTTCAAATGCAGTTATAACAATCTACAGAAGAGCTGATGGAATCCTTTATAGCAGTAAATGAACCATACAACTTCCATTTACCATGACCATTTTCAGTTTCCCCAGACATCAATAGACTTTTTTTTTTAATGGCAGTGATTCAAAATTATAGGCAGACACTTGAAAACTTGGGTCTCCTATACTTTCTCTGTGAACTGCTTACCCCTCGAGTGCCTGATTTTTTAACAGGCACTAAAACATCCATTCTCAGCCTTAACTTGCATTTATATTGCTGTGCCTCTATGATGCCTTACAAATTTTTCAAACATTAAGTGATTAGGATGATGCCATGACAGTGTGAGGCACTGTCACGAACTCAAAACAAAACCCATGAGAGAGCAGGATAAGAAGATTGGTTATCTAGTTTCTCTGTGTCTTAAAGCAAGACTGTCCTCAACCGGAAGAATGGAGAACTCCTTATTTCCTCCTTTAAAATATTAACAAGAAGATTCTCGCAATAATGATTCGGATACTGGTCATAAAGATATTATTAATTCCTTCGGAAGATGATGTGTAATGCTCTATAAGTGAGTTTTGCTGGAGACAAGTTGAATGGATTCCTTCACAGAATACATTTTCCCTCCTCTCTTTCCACAGTCTATATCAGGGGAAATAACTTTAGGATGTTTGGCTCTTGGATCCTTGATTGAGTCACTGCCAACATCACTGGTAAGGTACATTCTTAGGACTTTCCAGGTCTGCTTCTCAAGACCCAAGAAATAACACGGGAAAGTAAACATTTTCTACTGAATAATTTTGTAGCTTAGTTAAAAAAAAAAAAAAACAGGCAAAAATGCAGTTTGGGGGAAGTAATACTCTATCATTAGAAAGGCCCGATTTCGGTGGTGATGGTCTTAAGGAGTCTTCAGGCAGCTCAAGAGTCATTATAACATGAGGTGAATATTTATTTATTTACTTACTTACTTAGTTACTTATTTGATGCCAGTACTGAGGCTTGAACTCAAGGCTTGGGTGTTGTTCCTGAGCTGTTTTGCCCAAGGCTTAGCACTATATCACTTGAGCCATAACTCCACTTTTGGTGGTTAATTGGAGATAAGAATCCCATGGATCATTTTTACAATAAAAAACATACATTAAAAAAAAGAATCCCATGAGCTTTCTTGTGCTGGCTGGCTTCCAACTGGGATCCTCAGATCTCAGTCTCCTGGGTAGCTAGGATGCAAGTGTGAGCCACTGGTGCTCAGCAGAATTTTTATTTTTAAAGTTTCAGGAATTACTTTTATGTCATTCTCCATAAGTTACTAGCAAAACTGCTAGTAGTAGGTTTAAAAAACAGACAGACAAGCAAAGAAACAATTTTTGAGGTGAGGAAACAAAAATTTAGAATTGTTGCCAAGTTGTAGACTTGGAAATCTCTGAGAGGATTCCTACAGTGAAAGGCTGAGTCCATTTTCCAGTTTGGTTTTTTAATCCTTGTCAAGACTGAAAGTCAGAAGGGAAACAAAGACAAATACTGAACAAATGTGTCCTCATACTATAAGCAACAAAGGCAGTGGACACATTTGTGAGATCTACCATCTCTCAGCCCAGTCCCTTAGATTGGGGACCCTTGGGCAATGCTTCTAGGTCAGGACCTATGGGTGATAAAATTAACTTACTGCATGTAGCCGGTCATGACCAGAAAAAGAATCAATGAAATGGACTAGAAATAATGCATTCATTACATAAAAGGTATAAATACTGGTTTATATTCATCTTTTATTTCATTTACAAATGCATGCTTATGCAATGTGTGTGTGTGTGTGTGTGTGTGTGTGTGTGTGTGTGTGTGTGCATGTGTGTGTGTGTGTGTGTGAGAGAGAGAGAGAGAGAGAGAGAGAAACATATTATGTAAATCTGATCACAAGAGTTTGACATCTTCTTCCTGGAGGAACATTAGGACTTCCAGGGTCTCTGGGAACATTGGTACCTTTTACCAGGCTGAACCAGTCCTGATCAACCTGACATCCTAGGACATCCTAGATAGTCTATTTTGGGCAGTAGTTAAGTGATAGGAAAGCTGTTTGGTCCGTTTGAGTCTTGCCTTTAGACAGGAAACCCAAGGGGTGGCTCAGTCTAGGGCTAATTTCTGCCACACCTGAGGCAAGACCTTTCTGAAAACCCCTCTCACTGCCCTTTGAATGCTGAAGCTTTCCAGATGAGTGAGCACAGCACCATTCCTAGCCCGGCGATGTTCCTCTAAATCCTCTTGGATGGTTCTTTCCCAAATCCGAGTCATTTCCTTACAGTCCTCCTTGCACTGGTCAGTACGGAATACTTGTGGGGGTCTCTTTGCATCCCCAGGAGCGCTCTCTCTCTCTCTCTCTCTCTCTCTCCCTCTTGTTCTGTGTGTCTTTGGCTTTCTCTTCCCTGGTAGTATGTCCTGTGAACTCCAGCTCTCTTGCTCTTGTTCTTTCTGGCCTTTCCTCTCTTTACTACTGAGGAAGTCTGCTCTGCTGCTCTCCCTTTGTTTCTCCGTCCTACTTAGGACCCAGAAGCACTCTCAGGGAAGCAAGCTGGGACAATCACAGGGATTATATAATTTTGTTTCTCCTCTCACAGGTTTTAGTATACCTCATTCTCTGGTGCTCAGTGTCTTTCTTTTTTTTTTTTTTTTTTTTAATCTGTACGTAAGCAATTGACTTTATTTTTTTTTTATTGTAAAGCTACTATACAGAGGGTTACAGTTACATGAGTGAGGTAATGAGTACACTTCCTCTTGAACATTGTTACCCCCTCCATTGTTTTCCCCCTACCATCCCCTCCCTCCCTCCCTTCCCCGAGGTTCTTTTTTTTTTGATTGTGATTAAATGATTACATAATTTCAAAGTCACAAGTTCATTCTAACTTCCCTGGAGCAAATTGTCTACCACAGTCTGTAATATATAACAGTGTTCACATGTTATATACCATATTTGTGATCAGCAGCATGGGGATATTTAGTAGTGGTTCAACCAGATGAGCAGGAGTTCTTTGTTTCTTAAGTCCTGTTAGTTTTGTCGTATCACCTAACCTTTTGGATTTAGCATCCACTTATCAGGGAGACCATGTACCGTTTGTCTCTTCGTTCTTGGCTTACTTCGCTCAACATGATTCCTTCTAGCTCCATCCATTTCCCTGCAAATGCCATTATTTTGTCATTTCTAATGGCTGCATAATATTCCATTGTGTATAGATACCACAATTTTTGGATCCATTCATCTGTGGTGGGGCATCTAGGTTGTTTCCATATCCTAGCTATTGCAAACAGTGCTGCAATAAACATGGAGGTGCACATGTCCTTGTATATTGGTTCCTGTTGTTCAGGGTAGATGCCTAGAAATGGTATGACTGGGTCGTAAGGGAGGTCAATCTTTAGCTTTCTAAGGACCCTCCAGACTGCTTTCCAAAGTGGTTGTATAAGTGTACATTCCCACCAGCAGTGTAATAGGGTTCCTCTTTCTCCACATCCCCTCCAGCATTTGTCGTTGGCTGATTTGTGGATGTGGGACATTCTGACTGGGGTAAGGTGGTATCTCAGGGTTGTCTTTATTTGCATTTCCTTCACCACCAGGGATGATGAACATTTCCTCATGTGTTTCTTTGCCATTTTTATTTCTTCATTTGAGAAGTCCCTCTTTAGTTCCCTTGCCCATTTAGTAATTGGTTTGTTAGGTTTGAGAGGGATTAGTTTCTTGAGTTCCCTGTATATACAGGATGTTAACCCCTTGTCTGATATATTGCTGGTAAATATTTTTTCCCAATTAGTTGGTTGTCTTTCTAGCTTAGTTGCGATAGATTTAGCTGTGCAGAAGCTTTTTATTTTAAAGTAGTCCCATTTGTTGAGTCTCTCTCCAACTTGTTGTGACCCTGGGACTCTGTTCAGGAAGTTCCTTCCTGTGCCTATTAGTTCAAGTGTCTCTCCTACTCTGTCCTGCAGTAGTTTCAGAGATTCAGGTTTAATGTTAAGGTCTTTAATCCATTTTGAGTTGATGTTGGTGCATGGTGATAGGCTGGGGTCCACTTTTAGTTTTCTGCATGTGGCTGCCCAGTTTTCCCAGCACCAGCGGTTGAAGAGCTCAGTGTCTTTCAAACCATTGTTTCCTATATGTTGTTTATTGTCATAGTTCCCAGTGGGAGAATAACCCTTGCTTTTGTTACATTCCTCTGGGATGGTAGCTGAAGATACCCTGAGTAGTAGATGTGGGAATTTGGGGAAATAGAGCAGATTCTCTCTCTCTCTAAACTGCTTTATTTTGATAAATGTTCTTTCTATTTCTCTCTCAATTTGTTTCATCTATTCAACTGAATAGCAGCTATATGTACATGTGTGCATATCAGGTGTAGCTTTCATCATTATCATATCTCAAAAACCTGGCCAGTAAGGATGACCTTGAAAAACCTTAAGAAAATGGTCTTTTTTCACTTGTGAAGCTCAAGGCCAGTGTGGAAACAATAATACGATGCCTTCCTTCTCTCAGGGACCAGTTGGCATTTTCTAAGTTGTCATTTCTTTTTGCTAAATGCAGTATTAATTCTGCCTTTATTGTGAAAGGAAAAGTTTCATTAATTTACCATCAGTGACTCTTATTTTAATGATGAATCTTGTTTCAAAGAATAAAATACAAACATGAAATTGTCTGTTTTTGATTATAGTAACGATTGTAATTGAAGTGTTCTTACCAAGGAACGCATACACACGTGCAAGTACACATGCAGGCATATATGCGCGTGCACACACACACATCTCTAAATATTTTATTCTGAATTAAACTTTGATGACATACAATGAAGCAGTTTATGATGTATGAAATTGTTACAATCAGGTGATTGCTCTCCTCACAAATTCGAAGATAAATATCTATAAAGTGAATGTTTTCATAAATTGTGCTGAAAAACTCATGCTATCCATCTGGCAAAGATACACTTAACTCCAAGTAATACTTAAAAAGCCAACGTACTTACCATATGTCTCAATAATTTTAAGGTAAAATCTACTTGAAACAAGATGTCTGGGACACATACACCATATCCAGTTGCCCAAAAGTTCATCTGTTAACCATTGTTCTGGCACAGAGCACTGCTTTTCTTTTCTTTCTTTCCCTTTTTTTTTTTTTTGTAAAGTAGAGACTAACTCAGTTTTGTAAAGCTTAACTTTTTTTCCTGTAAAAGATTGCTTAATGTTGATAAACCTTAATCTTCTTAAAGTTTTAATTGTCTTCACTATAAAGTATTAAGGAAAAATATTGCAGGAGCAGCTCCAAGTATAATTTACTTTATTTATATATGTAAAACACTGAACAAAATGAACATTTTTATTCCATGGAGACAAAGTAACTTTCTTTTGAACAGGAATTCTGTTCTGTTTGTTTACTTGGGCAATCTTTTATCAAGTAAAGTCATTTCATAATTCAATTCAGCCCTTTTGTGTACTTTGGTGAACTTTTTCCAGATTCTCAACTGTGGTTCAGATCCTCATAATGAAATTTGTATTGAAGTAATAATATAAAATCACAAAAACTACAGCAACAAAGAGGATAAATTTACACAGAAAGTATGTTTTCTAGCTTTGTTTTTTGAATTTGACCTGAATTAAATTCTATTAAATTACTATTTGAACATAATATAAAAAGTTTTGATGTTTGTGAGTGTATAGTTATTCCAGCATTAGTTTTTAACCCAGTCACCCCTTTGATTTACTCAATAAAAGTATTAAAGAAGTTCCTTGCCTTTCAGGTATATTAGGTATGTAGACTGAGTAATTCATGTGAAAAGAGCATTGTGTCATTAAAATAAATGAAAAAATTGGAAAGGAAGTCTATTAGCCTAAGTTTATGTTATCATATGGAAAGAGAAGGCATATTTGATGTCAGCCACAGTTCCACTTCTAGCTTTTTGGTGATGAGTCTCATGGACTTTCCTGACTGAGCTGGCTTCATACCACGATCCTCAGATCTCAGCCTCCTGAGTAACTAGTGTTACAGAGGTGAGCCACTAGCCCCTGGCTCAGAATACAAAATTTTAATAGAGATGACTAAGAGGAAAAACAAAGTTGACAAACTAAACAAACAAGAACCATATACAAAGAAATAGTGTGTATTTCATAAAATTGGAATGATTCAGAAGAAAGGTTTTCTACCTCTTCTTTTTCTTTAATAATTATTGGGCCAAAGGAAAATTTCTGAATTGCTTTGAGGAGAGGTCCAAACTATTTTGTGGCTTCTGTGGTTTGACAGCATAAATTTCATTCACCACTGTGTTTTTTGTGTATTTTCCTCATTAGAGGTACTTTTACCTCATTAGAGTACTTATACCTTAAAAAATTATCTACAAATGAACATACATATGTGAGAGAGTGACTGAGTCTAATTATAATAAAAATCATGTTATAATTTCTGCATTGAAATTTTAATGTTTTCTGTTAAGTTGTATTAAAGTCCCCTTTGTTCATTATCGGATTTTTCTTTTTTTCGGTCATGGGGCTCAAGGCTCGGGCTCTGCCACTTGAGCCACAGAGCCACTTCTGGTTTTCTGGTGTTTTTTTTGTTTTTTTTTTTGGGTTTGGTCGTGGGGCCTGAACTCTGGGCCTGGGCGCTGTCCCTCAGATCTTCAGCTCAAGGCTAGCGCTCTACCACTTGAGCCACAGCGCCACTTCCGGCTTTTTGCTTATGTGGTGCTGAGGAATCAAACCCAGGGCCTCAGGCATGCAAGGCAAGCGCTCTACCACTGAGCCACCTTCCCAGCCACTTCTGGTGGTTTATTGGAGATAAACCAAAGCCCTGGCTGGCTTTGAACTGCGATCCTCAGATCTCAGCCTACTGAGTAGCTAGAATTACAGGTGTGAGCTACAGGCTCCTGGCCATTATGGGCTATTTTAAAGCTGTTATTGGACCCTATTTTTGCTCTGTGGGAGGGCACATGATGCTTACCTTCACTGATCTTTTTGGTGTTTCAGCTAAGATGGGAGGCAGAATTCCCTTGTAAAAACCAAACAACCTGGAGGAGAAAAAAAATGATTTTATATAAAAAAGAGAATTAGGAAACAGGTATTTTTGCCCCCGTTTATGAATAAAGCAGCTAACATTAAAGTATTTCCCACTATTCAATGTAACATGCCAATCATGGTGTTTTTCTTGGTTGAAAATGTGAATTCTATGTTTATTAATATTATCATATTCAGCAGATGAGTAAAAGATACTAAGTCTGGAATCCTTTAGATAAGTTACTAAATACAACCATATCTATTGATGACCATGACATTTGTCATACTAGGAATCTTCAATTCATTTTCTCAGCTCTATGGTAGTACTCAGCCTGAATACAGTAATGCAGTCTTTCAGTTCTAGTAATCAAATCAGGTTAGAGTTATACCTGAAACTCTAGACTGAATAATTTTAGGTGACAGAACCTTCCATTTTGGCTTACTAACAAGTTCTGTGTCTTTGGTATCAAGGCTTCAAGTTCTTGAACTAGTTATAATTTTTAATAACTTTAGTGGAAATGGAAGGTCAGGGAGTCTCTCTCTCTCTCTCTCTCTCTCTCTCTCTCTCTCTCTCTCTCTCTCTCTCTCTTCTCAGAGTCTTATATAGACAAGAGTTCTACCACTCAAGCCATACCTCAGACCCTTTTAATTTGTTTATTTTTTAGGTAGGGTCTTGTGTTACTGCCCAGGACTGGCCTCAGAATACAATCATCCTAGCTCTGTCTCCCAAGTTGGTGGAATTATAGGAACAAGCTACCATGCCAAACTTGTTTGTTGGGATAAGATCCTGCATATTACTTTTTCACCCAGGTTGGTCTTAAATTGTGGTCCTCTTATTCCTGCCTCTTAAAGTAGCTTGAATTAAAGATGTGTGCCACTACACCCCACCCAGGAGAAATGTCAAACTCCTTCACTGATACACAGTTTCACAAGGTATGGGTCAGCTATTTTTTGCCAATGTATAAGTCCCAAGGTCACATATATTATTTAATTTTCAGCTAAATATATTTTATAGAAGGTCTGTGTTTATAGTTATTAGTTTTTCTTTCTTTGTGCTGTTTCTACATCTGGAAGATTATGCCTGGTTATGGGCAAAACAATTAAGGGGAACACTTACGGTTCAGGTTAACAGAGGGACTTGAAATGTGGTATGACTGAGAACAGTTACATAAAGAACAGATGCTTATCCCAGAGCTCCAACTTAGGGAGACAACTTCATGGGTCTCTTGAAAGGCAAGCATGGAGGGAAGATACTGGACTTATCTGTTCATTTCCAGTTGGTAGGAATGAGATTAATAGATGAAAATACAAGGGAAGATAGCTTTATGACAGTTGGACCTGAACAGAAGTAGTCCTTTCATTTATTATTTATTTATTTATTTATTTAATTGGTGGTGGGGCTTGAACTCTGGGTCTGGGTGCTGTCCCTGAGATGCTCAGCTCAAGCCTAACATTCAGCCATTTGAACCACAGCACCACTTCCAAGTAGTCCTTTTGATAGTCAGAGCTGTCTAAAGACAGAATGTGTTGCGCTAAACAGTGGTGAATTAGGACATAGCATGTGGTCCAAGAACCTGAATGGACAGCAGTCATGAGTGCCAGAGCTGGGATGAACACAGCAATGGTTTCCCTTGGTGGTCCTCAAGGTCAGTCTATTTCATCCTGGAGACTCTACTATTCTGAGATGAATAATAACAGAGCATAGACAAGTGCTTTTTGCAAGGAACAGACTGCCTTATTTGAGATTCTGGCCTCAAGTGTAGCACTGCTTCTCTGCAAAAGTACTGATTCTTATAAGCAATACAGAAGGACTTCATTTTAAATATGATGGGAGAAAAATATTAAAAAGAGGTGTAAGGCAGGAGGGAAGAGAGAGACAGCTGGGAGAAGCATAAGGATTTAATCTGAAAAGAGCTGGGAGGTCCACAGCTCTCTGCTTCACGTTGGCGATGCTTTGTTGATGGGCCCTGCTTCCATTCTCTCCGTGGGCTCCTTTCTTGTGCAGTCACCGACTTACCATTCTTCCTGAGCTTTCTAACAGTAGAGGAACACTTTCAACTAGAAATTCTGAGGCACCACCAGCAGCTTTTGCTGGTATATAGGAAGTTAGACTTATCTACTTCCTCTCCTAGTTTTCAGAGTATACTCATGCAATAGCAGTTTTGCACAAAGCAGTCATCCCAGCAACGAGTCCGTGGAGAACTACCATACCCACTTAAAAACAACACCACCACTAGGAGCCACACATTCATATAGGTTGATCCAAGTTGGAGGCAGGGTTTGACTGCATACTTTATTCAACTGGATCCAAATGGTGTCCTACTTTTTTGTCCCAGTTAATCTGATTCAAACTAGCCCTATCAGAGTTTTTCCTCCAGGATTCTGGAACTGGTACTGAAAAGGGACATCTTGCTCAGTGTTATTAAACTGCAAATCTATAAAACGAGTATAATAGCAGCAAGAAAAAGAAGAGAGTTCTGGTGCTGTGAGTATAGTTCTGTAATTAAGCTTAGTTGTATCTGGATTCATATTGAATATGTGAATACTGAGATTTACCTTTGGCCCTAACTCTACGAGATAATCAGTAATATCTCTAACAATTTATCTCATTACTTCTACTTTTATTTTTCTTACTTGTTGCTCAGAGTCCTGAATCCAGCAAGTATATCCCATAGTTCCTACAGCCAAAGTGGTTATTATAGGATGTCATGCATGAGTTTCTTTTTCAACTGCTGAGATTGGGTCCTTGAGTCAATAATAAGAGTTATATACAGAATGTGAGGGAGGGCTGGGAAGTTGGCTCAGTGGTAGAGTGCTCGCTTTGCATGCTTAAGGCCCTGGGTTCGATTCCTCAGCACCACATAAGCAGAAAAAAAAAGCCGGAAGTGGCGCTGTGGCTCAAGTGGTAGAGCGCTAGCCTTGAGCTGAAGAGCTGAGGGACAGCACCCAGGCCAAGAGTTCAGGCCCCACGACCGGACCCAAAAAAAAAAAAAAAAGATGTGAGGGAACGAATGTGAGCAAGGAAGGGCCGAAGCTGGTGAGTTACTTTTCTGATTGATAGGCATTGAAAGGTTTCCTAGTGCAAAATGTAATATACAGATTTAAAAACAAAGGAATGACAGTATTTTATGGAGAACTTTTCTTCTGCTGAAGGACTTATGTCCATATGCACATACATTGTTACTATGCCATCATGCAGTTTTGGCTTGCTTTAGGAGCATGTAGCTTTCCAGGACAATAATCAGGGAAGGAAAGAAATTGTGACACCCACATCATTATGCTTCATGCTACTTTCTTCCAGAAAAGCCCTCTGTTCTCCTCCAGTTTCCTTGCTAGGTGAACAGATAATGGATTCTAAATGTTTATGTAGCATTCACGGCAGCTCTTTTTCTCCCCAATAAGAAAGTATAGATACCACTCTGCTTTTACATTCTGACTTGCATCAAGCTAACGATAAAGAGGCATAAGAGTCACTGTAAGCTTGCTTATAAAGTGCAGTATGAACTATTTGGCAACACCATTTTGTTCCTTAAAGGTGTTACTTTTAAAAGGTGTGAGTTTGATTGTAACTATTCTTTGTAGGAAAATATTAACTTAGATGTTTATGGACTTATGTTGATGGTACTATCAGAAAAAATTAGTCAAAATTTGTTGAGTGTGCTCTCTGTGCTAGCTGCTCTAAGAATAAATATATGCAAACATATATATATATATATATATATATGTATGTAAAACAGTTTCAGTCAACTTTAAGTCTATTTTTTTGAGGTAGGTCTAATTCTTTCCTTCACTTTATGGATGAAGCTTTCTGTCACATTATTGCTAATGTCCATATCCTTGGCCATTGGGATATACTATGTGAAAATTTTTCTTGAAAAACTTTTTTTTAATGCTAGGGATTGAACCCAGAGCCTCACAAATGCTAGGCAAGAGCTCTACAACTGAGCTACAACTCTAGTCCAAAGAAAACTATTTAATTAAAAACTTGTAAGAAGTTATTTATTTTGCAACAATAGTTGATTTTTTGTGCCAGTCTTAGGGCTTAAACTCAGGACCTGAGCTCTGTCCCTGAGTTTTTTTTTTGTTTTTTAATTAAGCCATAGTACCACTATTGACTTTTTGGTGGTTAATTTAAGGTAAGAGTCTTACAGACTTTCCTGCCCTGTCTGGCTTTGAACCAGGATCCTCAGATTTTAGACTCCTGAGTAGCTAGGATTATAGGGCATGACCACTGGTCCTGGCTAGTTTATCATTTCTTATTACAGGAAGAAGCAAAAAAAAGCAATTAAATCATGATGGAGATTAACTCTTAGGATGGAGATGTGGTTCAAATGGTAGAGTGCTTGCCAAGAAAGCACAAAGCCCTGAGTTCAAACTCCAATACTGCCATAAGTAAGTAAATAAATAAATGAGTGTCAGGATTGTACTCCAATTTCCATTCAATTGTATTACAATGTCAAACATTAACGGCATAAGGAATAATATTGATCTAGGATGAATCTGATCACTTTTTGTGTGAAAGCTTTTAGGTTATTGATTAAATAATACCTAGTTTTATAAGAATCAGGAAAAACATATAGGCCTTAGAATAAACCTTTTCTTTCTTGCAACAATGAGATGTACAAGTTGTTATGTCAAAAAACAAACTTTACAACTTTGGCTGGGGGGTTGGGGGGGGTGGGAGATGAGAAGGGATGGTAAGGGGAAACAAAGGAGGAGGCAACAATGCTTGATAAGAAATGTACTCATTACCTTGCCCATGTAATTGTAACCCCTCTGTACGGTATTTTCACAATTAAAAAAATGTAAAAAAATTAAAAAAAGAAGTATACCAGAATAATTTTATCAGTGTGGGAGGAGAATTAATACCTCAGTAACAAAACACTGAAACCTTACTATTACATTGTAAAAATAAAAACTACTATTCACAAATCAGTGGGAAACATTTTGGTTACTGACCCAAGAGCTTCATCCCCTCTCAGTCTTTGTTCGTCAGAAGTCAGTGTTTACCATC